GACAGACTCAGACATCCAAAACAAACTGATGGCTACCCAAGTGAGTGGGGGAAGGGTTGGGAAGGGATAAATTGGGAGTGTGAGATTTGCAGATACTAACTACCACATATAAAATAGAGAAACAACAATTTTCTACTGTATAGCACATGGAAATATATTCAGTATCTTATAATAACTTTCCATGAAAATGGAAACAAATCAGAGGAGATCTTTGTAAGGAAAAAAAAATCATCCAGCCCCGCTGTGTGCCAAGTACTGTTACAAGCAATTGTTAAAGCAGAATAAGACAGGCAGTCTCTAGCCGCATAGAGATCACATTCTACTGAAGGAGACAAACCAGTAAGTGTGCTTTCTGTGAACTGGGCCAGATGACCATTTTGGACTGTGCACTGAGAAAGATGTTTATGGACAGCACTGTCTACTTTTGACAATGCTAACCCTCACCAACGTGGGCAAGTGGGTTAAAAATTTAGTTGCAAAATATCCTAGTCTGAAATGTTACACGTGAGCTCAAGGAACCAGAAGAAACTCTGGTGCTGATAATTTTCCTTCCTGTAGAGGGAGCTCCTCACCAGCCAAAATGGGATGCCATGGAAAATGCTTTTAGAACACGTTCTGAAACATTTTCTCCATGAGATTTTTGTTGGGAAAAGCCAAGTGGTTCACTCATAAAAATTCTTTCAGCTTAATGCTTAAAGCTTTGGAAATATAATTTCCTCACCCAATATCACTTATCCCTCCAACCCAATTTTTTGAATTTATTTGTTCAAAGTATTAAAATGCAGCACCTTCTGGTTTGTTTTAGAATAGCTGATTGTCATTATGAAGTACAAACTTTTAAAGCCAGATTTCAATACAACCTTTGCATAATTAGTGGATACAATTGGAAAGTATGTTAGATTAGGAGGCAGAACCAACAAGGCCAATTTCCCTCCAAGCAGCAGGTCTTTGTGAATCTTTCCCAGTTTCAGCAGCCATTAAAATCAGTATCAGAGGGAACTGAGCTTCAACTGCAGACCAGCAGATCCCTCCCAAGACAAAAATAAACCAAGACTTACCCCAAACCAAGACTTACCCCAAAGAAGAAGAAAAAACAATCACCTAGGCAAAGGACGTGAACAGACAAGGCATAGAAAAACAGCAAGGGGGAAAGGATTCTGAACATATGCAAAGATGCTCTTAAAAAAATGGTGACTGGTGATTACCGGTCTTTCAGGTTGGTAAGGGTGAAGAGAAACAGGCTGTATCACATGTTGTTGGTCAGAATGCAAACTGGCAAAACCTCTCTGAATGACAATTTAACAAAATCCATCAAAACTAAAAATGCAGCAGTACAACTGATCCAGCAATTGTACTCTGGGTATTTTTTCTACACAAATACTCCTACCAAAAGTCAGCATCCACTTGACATCAAAATCTGTAATTAGGTCAGCACGGGATTAGAAAACCATAGGCCACCCTGGCTTGTGAACCCAGATGCAAATATTAGCAGACTGACTCCAAAGGGTAGGATTTAGCCTATGAATGCAAGTATATTGATCGTTGTTCCTAACTGGAAACAACACAAGCTGACCCATATTTATTTAAGCAGAAAATAAAAACAGTGAAACAATGTTTATTAGCTCACCAAATTTTCGGGAAGTCTGGAGACTAGGCTCAGAAATAGATCATGTCTAGAACCATAGAAAATGCCATACCTGAGAACGAGCCTGATGAGGATTCCACCGTGAGCACAAAGGACGCGCCCTCGGTTCTCCGGATCCCACGCTGCAAGCGGAAAACCCCTCGTGGGTACATTTGATTGGCCAGAACTGTCACATGTCTGCTCAGCAGCCAAGGAAGCTGGGAAAGGAAGAAATTGGCATTTACAGCTCTGGCACTAGAGGCAGGCTGTCTCCCACCAAGACAGATAAGAAGGGTAATTCCCAAACACAGGGAAGGGACTCAGGTGCCAGGAAGTCTTAAATATGGCCGAGACCCACCACTGTGAGATTTCCACAGTAAAAAAATCTTTTGATGTAATTCACGGTATTAACAGATCAAAGAGGAAGACCATGTAATCTTCTCTATGGCTGTGAGGAAAGAAAAGCATTTCATTAAAAAAAAAAATAGCAAACAACCTAGCTTAAAAAAATAAGCCAAAGACCTTACCAGATACCTCACCAAAGAAGGCATACAGATGGCAGATAAGCAAGTGAAGAGATACTCCATATCATGTCATCAGGAAAATGCAAATTAAAACAATGAGATACCATGACACACATGTTAGACTGGCCTAAATCCAGAATACTGGCAACATAAAATGCTCTCATTCATTGCTAGTGGTAATGCAAAATGGTTCAGCCACCTTGGAAGACAGTTTGGCAGTCTCTTACAAAATAAGCATACTCTTATCATATGACCCAGCAATCTTGTTCCTTGGTATTTATCTAAAGGAACTAAAATTTACGTCCGCACAAAAATCTGCAAACCGATTATTAGAGCAGCTTTATTCACAACTGCCAAAACTTGGAAGCAACCCAGATGTTTTTGAGTAGGTGACTGGATAGACTGTAACACATCCATACAATGGAACATTATCCAACACCAAAGGAAAAAAAGCTATTGATGAAAAGACATGGAGCTTCAATAAATGCGTATTACCAAGTGAAAGAAGCCAATGTGAAAAGGCTACAAACTGTATGATTCCAACTATATGACATTCTAGAAAAGGCCAAACTGTGGAGTCAGTAAAAAGTATCAGTGGTTGCCAGGGGTTGGGTGAGGGAGGGATGACTAAGAGGAGCTCAAAGAATTTTTAAGGCAGTAAAAATACTCTGTATGATCCTATAATGGCAGATACATGCCATTCATTATACATTTGTCTACATCCACAGAATGTACAACACAAAGAATGAACTCTATCACCCAAAATTAATAGTTTACATTAATGTGTCAGTGTAGGTTCATCAATTTTAACAAATATCCCACTTTGGTAAGGGATATTGATAGTGGAGGAGTTTTTGCATGTGTAGGGGCAGGAGGCAAATGGGGATTCCCTGTATCTTCTGCTCAGTTTTGCTGTGAAACTAAAACTGCTCTAGAAAATATTTTCAGAGAAAGACAAATACTGTATGATCTCACTTACATGTGGAACGTTAAAAAAACAAAACAGAACAAACTCTTAGAAAAAGAGATCAGACTTGTGGTTACCAGAGGCAGGGATGGGAATGGGAGATGGGAGGAGGCTGGTCAAAAGGTACAAACTTCCAGTTATAAGATAAATAAGCACTAGGGATGTAATGTACAACACGATGGCGATAGCTATCACCGTATCCTATATAGGAAAGTTGTTAAGAGTATCTTAAGAGTCCTCATCACAAGGAGGACATTCTTTTTTCTTCTTTCTTTTTTTTTTATTGTATCTACGTGCAAAGATGGATTTTAGCTGAACCTATCATTTCACAATGTATGTAAATCAAACCATCATACGGTAAACCTTAAACTTATACTGTGACATATGTCAATTATTTCTCAATAAAACTGGAAAAAATAGAATATAATCTTAAAAAAATAAAGTCAAAAAACCATTAGAATATCAGAGCAGGAAGAAACAATTATTTTGAAAAGCATAACTAGAATAACCACCCACTAGCATCCTCACTGGTGGGAAAGCATAACAAATGTTAAAGTCAGAGGGAGAAGGGGTGCCACTCCCCACCAGATCTTTTTCAACACTGTACCAGAATCCTTGTGTAACAACAGCAATAAACTCAAATTACTAAAATTAGGAATGACTTTGGGGGCCTTATGAAATAAAAGGGATCACAAGAGAATACCATGAATAACTGTATACCAACAAATTAGATAACCTAGATGAAATGGACAGATCCCTAAAAGCACAAACTCTCAAAACTAACTGAAAAGGTAACAGATCTGAACAAGCCTATAAGAAGTGAAGAGATGAATCAGTAATCCAAAACTTCAAAGAAAGCCAAGGACCAGTTGGCTTCGTTGGTGAATTTTATACAGATGAAGGAAGAACTAACACCAAGTCTTCTCACATTCTTCCCAAAAATAGGAGAAAAGGAACTGCTCCCTCACTCATTTCCTGGAGGTCAGGATTACCATGACACAAAAGCCAAAGACACTATAAGAAAACTAAAGACCAATACCAATTATGAGTACAGATATAAAAATCTTCAGCAAGATACTAGGAAATTAAATCCAAAAGCATACTGAAAGGGTTGTACACCATGACCTAACAGGATTTATCCCAGGAACGCAAGGCAGCTTCCACATATGAAGATCAATGTAATACACTGTATTAATAGAATAAAGGGGGGAAAGTCCCATGATTATCTCAATTGATACAGAAAAAGAATTTGACAAAATTTAAGACCCTTTCATGATTAAAACAAAAACCATACAATAAACTGGTAATAGAAGAGAACTTCTCAAATTAATAAAGGGCAGCTATGAAAAAACCACAGCTGACATCACACTTAGTGCTGACAGACTGAAAGTTTTTTTTTTTTCCCTAAGATGAGGAATAAAACAAAGCTACCTTCCTCCATTGCTGCTATTCAACATTATACTGGAAGTTTTAGCCAGGGCAATTAAGCAAGAGAGAATGAAATTACATTCAAATTGGACAGGAAGAAGTAAAACTATCTCTATTTGCAGATGACATGATCTTACATATAGAAAATCCTAAAGAATTCACACAAAAAAAGTTACTATAAACTAATTCAGCTAAGTGGCAACATGCAAGATAAACATTTTTATTTCTACACAAAACCATTTGTATTTCTAAACAGTAACAATGGAAATTTAAAAAATGAAATTAAGAAAACAATTCTATTTATAATAGCGTCAAAAATAATAAATTACTTGAGAAAAAAATTAACCAAGCAGATGCAAGATTTGGACACTTAAAACTACAAGACATTGTTGAAGTACCTTAAAGGAGACCTAAATATATTTACCAAATCCAAGTTCATGTGCTCATGTGATGCGCAGGGAGGCCAAACAATACCAAAATGTCAAAGTCTGGAGCAGAGAAAGGTTTGTTGCAGGGCCAAGCAGGAATAGGCGCCTCCTGCCCAACCCCCCACCTGTCCCACTGCCCCCACCCCAGCCCCCTGAAGGATTTCAGCAAAGCGTTTTTAAAGAACAGTGAGGGAGGGGCAGCCCAGGGCATGTGATCGGCTGTGCACACTTCTGATGAGCAGTTCTTAGGTGCCAGAAGGTCTGGGAGCTACCTGCTCATGGTCATCAGATAGTTAATTTCTTCCACTTGGTGGTGGTTTTTAGCGCTGAAAACCTCAGGGAATGTGTACGAGGTATTATTATCTGGGTACTTCAGGGATATAGGGGAGGGGTCTGTCTTGGGAAGGCAGGACCCAAAGGGTCCTTCTCAGTTATAATTCCCCTTTTTTCTTCAATACTTCTTAGTCTTGAGAAGAGGTGTTGGACGAGAAGGGGAATAATGTTTTGGTTCATCATAAACTCAGAAGAATTCAGTTTCAATCTCCAATCCTGTCTCATCCTTCCCCAAATCTTTCAGGGAATGAGGCAACGACTGCTCTCCTTCCTGCTGAAATGGGGCACAGTCCCACCGAGACCGAGCAGGACCCTGTGGGGCACCCCCCCAAACCCCTCCCACTTGTGTATAGAAAAGCTGAATCTCCCAGGTCCCCCTGAGTCATAAAAGAACAGGCTCGAGCAGTTGATGACTAGGACAACAGGCAGAGATTCACTGCCTGATGCACTTTCCTCAGCTGTTTTCCAGATACTCTGCCACCAGAGGGGGAAAACGAAGCTGCATGATGCCCAGATCTTTTCCCTAGCCTCCCCAGAATGGCTGGTGGTGTCCCAAGCATGACACAGCTTAGATAGTTCCAAGTTCTCAACAATACGGGAATGCGCCTGAGATCACGTCCACAGTGGCCACGTAGTTTTACCTTGGATGTCTGAACCACAGCTACTCCATTTAGACTTTCAAACGTATTCCCCTCAAGGCCAAAGCAGAGGTACGATGCACGTCCACAAGGCCACAAGCAGGCCGCTTTGGTCAGTAAAGTTTAAGTTAAACTATGTATAAGCAAGAGTGATTTCCCCCTACCTCAACGTGTGCAGGTTTTTCCATCATTTCCCCTTTTGATTGCAAATCTTTCAATAGAAAGCACTGATGATCAGAATGGCCATCCCTCTGCTGGGATGGTGGCTCCTGCCCCAGCTTCAGATCATGTCCCTGGTGCTAGGCCTCCTTTGTATCTGGTTATTCACGTTGGGGAAAAACTAATCAGGTATCAGAAAAAGGCTCAGATGTATGCCTATGGGGGAACATGTTATAAGCCATCCATTTTATCACTTATACATTGTTACACAAACATTTTACATGTGCTTTTAGCAACAGACTTGAAGCTAGCGTTGTTACACATCTTGACTAGTTATACTCTGTGACAACTCACTCCATTAGAGAATTCTCTTTCTATCCTAAACGTATAGGGGCAACAGTGTGGTTAGAAGTTAAACAATAACTTCCAATGTGGAGAGGGAGCCAAACACTTGGTAAACAGTTCAATTAAAGAACGTAGATTAAAAGCCAGCTAATATTTCAGACAAAACCAAAAAACTACAACCATATTCATCAGCTCATTCAATCCTATGAAATCCATCCTTTTCCCTAACAGCTTTATGAAATGAGTTTTCATTAGACTTTTAAAATATCTTACTCCGCTCAGCAGTAGGATTTTAAAGAAACCAGCACTTGTCCGGAAGTCCCTTTTATGAATCCTCTGGAAGGTGAAGTCTTGCAAGCATCAGCTTAACTGTCCATGAAGGACAAAGAACCCAAA